CGGCCGCGATAGTCGGAGAAAAGCGCGACAACGGGCAAGAAAATTCAATCTCGATCCTCTGTCGACGGGGGAAAAAGGAGGAAAATGCGTCGCGGCGCCGGAGACACACAAATCATCGCTGATTTCCACGATGTGCCCGGACAAAGCAGCGTAATACGCGCTCTTTTGGCCGGCGTATTAGCCGGAGTTAAATTCAATTTGTCCAGGCCGAAGTAATCCTGGCGCAGAGAGAAAGCGAGATAGAGGGAGAGAGAGAGAGGGGGGGGGGGGGGGGAAGCGGGAGAGACGGATAGAGGGAGCAGGAGGAAAAAACGCGAAAATCCGGGACGTCGTTGCATCGTAATAACCGGAGTCGACAGAGAAACGAACCGGGAAACCCGAGCAACCCGAAAATTCGAATAAAATAGAAATTAAGTTACGTTCCGGGAACTCGAAGCGAACTCGTTCATTACGTTTTTACCTTTCCGCTACTTTCGTCGAACGTACGCAATTGCGGTGAAACCGTAAAAACGAGGCTTCTGCTTAGGTCTTAGGGACTGCTGCGACTACTGCTAACCGCTACTACTGGGTCATGCTCTTCTTTTCCTCCGATATTTGTCTTCGTCGGTATCGCCAAGAGCCAAGGAAATAATTGGCAAACGTAAATCGTAATAATCGAAAGGTCCGTATCGAAAACCACCCTTGTCGATTTTATTGATCCTTCGACAGAGAGCACGAAAATGCTTGGCCATTTTCTACTTATTTTTACATCGTATTAATAAAGAATCTTTCCCGTATTATAATCCGGCAAATTCGTGCACCGTCTTTCGTAATATCGATTCCGCCATGACGCGAGCTGTACTTGTCTCTACGTAATTATTAGAACGCGTCGTTGCTGGAAAATACAGAAAAATCCAGAAAAATCCCCCGACGTTTTCCGACACGAACACCCGAATTTTCCCGGGTGGGGGAAGGTAAAGGGAAAACTACCGATCGAATATGGTCGAAATCGATGAAGGGTACCCTGGCGGATCGATGACCGTGTATCGCTGCTCGATTCCACAGCACGCGTATCATCGGTCAGTCTTAGGAAAATAACGTATCGTTAACGAGTAGAGGACGAGCACTTTTAGATATTTCAGAGTGTATAAGGAAACTCGAGACGTAACGAAACTAAAAAGTATCCGATATTTATACCGTGCCTCTTCACAAATCAGCAAAGTTTCAAAAGACTCGGAATGATCGGAGGGTAAAGAGGCGGGTGTAGAGAGAGAAAGAGAGAGAGAGAGAGAGAGAGGGGGGGGGCAGAGAGAGAAGGGGAGAGGGAGGCTGGAAGGATAGCCAGGGAAAAGAAATAAAAGAGAAACAGAAGAAACACCCTGGCTATAGGTGGATCGTCGTCTCTCCTGCTCGGCTCTACCCCAATTCTTGTACGAATTCCAGCGTAAAAGGAAAAAGAATCCGGCATAATTCTAGCGTTAGCAGGTACCAACGATCTATTTTAAAACTGTCATTCCCGATAAATATATATTTCTGCCGGCATCGATTCGCCGATACGTCTTATACGCGAC